AACCTGTTGTAATAGAGCTGCAGATCATAAAACCATTTGGCTGCAGTTCGATTGGCTCCTCAGCAATGAAGTGCTCCTAATTTGTGTGCATTATCTAGCCTCTTCTCTTCAGGTATGCGGTGTGTGAGACAAGGACCATGCAGAACTGGCACCTTTGGCTACTCTCCCTTTGTCTCACTACCATTGTCTCAGTCTCAAAAGGGCTCATTGCACCTTTCCAGGTGGCACTATTTAGGCTTTGGTTTTGACTTTACCAAGGTGCGTGCATGACAAGAGGTCAAGAAACAGACTGTAGGGACTTGAATTGCAGGTTAAGGCCTTTAGACTATATTCTGTGGTCAGTGTGGAGCCACTAAATATTTTAAATAGAAAATGGTATGAAAAGTTTCATGAAACCAGTTCAATATTTTGGAAGAGGAAATACCATAAGCAGGATAATTATTTAGGTCAGCGATTCTCAAACTTTTTTATTTCAGGACTCCTTTAAATCCTTAACAATTTTAAAGGACCTCAGACAGATTTTATTTATGTAGGTTTTACCAATATATGTTTGGAATTTTAAAGCTGAGAACAATTTAAATTTAGATAGTTATTTAAAAATAATAAACCTGTTGTATGTTAGCATGAATAATATACTTGTAGGACAAATACATTTTCAAATACAAAAAAATGCTGAGATGAGTTACTTTGACACTTTTCTGAATCACATTAATATGTGGATTATTGAGAAGACAGTTGAGTTTACATATCTGCTTATATATTCAATCTGTTGCAGTATCACACATTATAAAGCCTCTGGAAAACAGTGTGTAGTCATGGGAGCACGAGAGTTAAAAAGGCAAATGATGACTTCATAATTTTACAAAAACAATTTTAATGTTGCAGAACCACTGAAAGAATCTCAGTGATCTCCAAAAGTCCTTGACCATATAATTCCTTGGTTTAAATGGAAAGTTATAATACCAATGTGAGGTCTCAACTAGGGGACTAGAGGCTTTGAATGAAGATATGTGCTTCTAATTGTTTTAGGAAGGATTAAACAAAGGGTTTGGGTAATTTGAATTATGGAGGACTGTAATGGGGTGTAGGCTAAGAGGCCCTAAAGTGCCCCCCACCACACACAAGACTGGGTGGGGGATGGGAGACATGGAACAGGGCCATTGAGAGTAACTTTGCATATCAATAACAGCAGGCTAGCTAGGAAGATGGGCATGACCTTGACTCATGATGTCACTGGAAGACAACTCTTCAGCTACAGCACCTTCACAAGAGCTTGGAGATGGTTCTCTTTGTGCCACAGGGCCACACCTGCCCAGACTAACTGTGGCAGCCAAGAAAGGCAGAAAATGCAGAGTGCTAGCAGGTGTAGCCAATTGAGGAAGGACTTGAAAATGGGGTTACAGAGGAGGTTCCAAGCTGGGGTTTAAACTAAAAGGCAGGCCACCATGTGGGTCAGGAGGCAATGGGGGACAATGCAAGACCAAGAGGGAAGGACTCTCTGGCGGGCCATGAGGAGGTGCTACATGGTTTTGGATTAAGAACTGGAGATCACGGTGACACACCTAATGGTGCTGGGGACTGTGGGAGACCTGCCCAGCTGAGCACGGTTTACTGGGAGTAACTGGGAATCTAGCTAGGCTATGGACTTCTATTTCTTTTCCTGAGATTCAGTACCCCTGAATGGCTTGATTTAGCAAGGGGAGACAAGATTGTGTGTGTTGTTGGGTGTTTTAACGGGACTTTGAAATTTAACTGTGACATTCTGCCATTACTTTAAGCCTGTATAACTTTTGAATAAATAGTTCCTTTCCTTTTCAACAAATTCTGACATTGAGAGCCACAATTCCTAAGGGTGGTGGGCAAAGAACTCACAGTGAAAGAAAGACCCTGGGGAAGGGGCTTGTTTCAGTAACAGTATCTGGGCTTCCCAAATAGATCCTTTCTTTAACAGTATAAAATGGATTAATCCTGTAACAGGGCTAATTTTCAGGAGCAAAGGTAAAACAGAGATTACAGCTTTGCCAGAATTTGAGTCTCAGTGCCTATAAAGAGAGTGGGGTCATTACATAAGAAGAATAGGGTATAAGCATATTTTATAGAGAAAAATACAATTTGGGGGGACTTAGATGTTGAGAATCTAATGGGAAGTAACAGGGAATATTTGCTAATCAAGCCTGAGGAAAGTGTCTGAATGGGGAGAAAGAGTGGTGTGTAGGGAAAACTTCAGTAGAAAAGGGCTTGTCAAAGCAGGACCTCATTCAATATTCAATAATGTCATTTCACTCAGGCTAAGATATGGTTTCTCTGAAGCCAAAACTCACAAAAACAGTCATATTGGTGGGCAAGTTCATGGAGCCAAGGGTCTTCCTTGTTAAGGGAGTTTACTTTTTCTGAAAAAGACTTGATGAGGCAGGCTTGAGATCAAATCTCCACATGAAAATCAAGTCTTTAGAGTTCACTAATGCAAGACGCCTTTCATGGCCCGATGCACAGATCATCTTTGAGAATAGGCAGTTGTTATGCACTTCTGTCTCTGCGTTTTAAAATCCACCCCCAAAACTTCTCAAGAGCATTCTAATTAAATTCCTAAAATCCTCCTCATTTTTTCTTTCTCCAGGAAGAATGTAATTAGTATCTTTGAACTATACCCCAAAAGTTTGAAGGTGAGTAGAAATAAACTTTGCGTAAAATAAATGTTGAAAATCCAAATGGTATCTGGTGATTTGTTATAAATTTCCTTCATTTGAAGGAACATGTGTTCCATGTCCCTATGGAAAATATACGTGTATCTGTGATTGGTATTGAGCTGATAGAAAGTAAGAAACTGAGATCCTTATGTCTATATTCTGCTCTGCCCTATATAAGAGGAGACAGAGAAAGAGAAATAGGAACTCATGGAACGTAAATCAAATGACTGCCTAAAGTAGCTGAACATTAAGATAATTCTATTATATTTTGAGCACAATAAAAAAATATTGCAGTTAGCTTAGCTATTTTTCTTAAATATAATCATTTTAGCAATTATAAAAATCTTCCAAATAAAAGATAATATATGAAACATTTTGAAACTAATAATTTAATAACAATAATAGTAATGTTACTGATATTATTAATAATAGTCAGGGCATCTCTTTTATATATTTTGTAGCTGGTCATGATGGCTAGAACACATGACTTTTCATAAGCAAACCTTCCCAAGGTCTACAAAATATTGCTTGTTGAACATGGAAAATTTCTCAAAAAAAATGAAGCATATAGTAACAGAAAATCTTTTGTTGAGCATAGCAATGAGAAATATATATACATATTTGTATACATGAAATAGATAGATGATAGATAGACTAAAGTATACAATTTTACTTTGACTACGGTTTTATAAACCAAAAAGTATTTTAATACTTGTTTGAGTATAAATTAATAAATAATAAATGTCAACATTTCTGTTTTACCTAAATTAAATGGTAAATTGTTCTTTATTTCTAAGAGGAAATATGAGCATTTTTGAGGATTGATTCTCCAAAACTGTGATGGAAACGTACTACTTTTTTTTATAATGTCTCTGTATACTCAACACAACATTCCTCATATAAATTATACAACTTTTAAAATACACTGAACTATTTGCTATGTGTTGATGGGGGAATTAATACTGATTTCAGTCTCTTGATAATAAACATATTAATATGTCTTAGTTAACTTTATTGTGATACTATGGTTTTGTTCTTTCTAAACAAATAATAACCAACTGAAATGTTTTTTCCTCTCATGTTTATTGACTGTTAGATACATGTTTACCAGAAGCAGAATGTGACTCCCAAGTTATTATAATTATGTGTAATCCCAAGGACACTAATTATAAAATACAACACTTGCTTTCTTATTTTTCTCAGGTTTTATAAAAACTAATCAGAATGTAATTGTCAGTTGCAAAGTTAGAAGTGACTACTTACATGCACAAGTTATTTTTACTGAGAAAAAAAGCCTAGATTAATAAACGGTAGTGGTAGCTGGAGAGCTCGTCTAAGTGCTCTCAGGGTGCATTAGAAACATCTCTCTGAACAGAATCACAGTGGCTGAGATGCCCTTAACATTCCCATCAGCTTGAGTATAAACCTAACCAGTTTCTTCTTGATGACAGGCCCTGACCTCACTTTTGTTAGAACGTGTACTTTAGAAAGCTTGCATTTTAAATTCTTTCCCTGTCCCTTTGAAATATAAATCTTCTAAAACCAGAAATATCTTTCTTAAGACCTATGAGACAACCCTTTGAAATGTAGTCATCAAAAGAGACAGTGCCCCTCTTTCCCAGTCCCTGTAGGAATGTAAGAGACCTAACTTCAGTAAGCAACAGTTAGCAGACGCAGGTGACCTAATCACATTGGCTACCCACCTCCAACCCTGCTGACATCCTCTGGTACCTTTATACTAGCTCACTCCAGAGCTTAAAAACTCTCATTTTTGTTTCAGTTGAGTAAAATTCCATTTCTCCTACTGCAATAGAATTGACCCCTATTGCAATAGTTTTTAGTAAAGTCTTCCTCACTTATTTAATTCCATCATTTTTTTCACAGCAGGGAACTTTTGTCACATCAGGACACCTTTCAAAAGGAAGTGGTGTGCAGCGGATAGACTATGACTTGTGTGCAACTTAACAGAACAAAATAACATCAGTTGCTTTCAGTGTCAGAGTTATAAGCAGTTGATATAGGAAAATGGGTGTATATTTTGCATATTTTTGAACTTTGATAAAATTTAGAGAGGTTTTATATACCTTCTATAACTTGAGAAAGAGTAGATTACAATTAGTTTTAAAAAAATAGTTCACTCTTTTATGTGAGGTGAGCTAGAAAAATCACGATTTTGCATTTTTGCAAAATGTACATGTATAATAGATCCAGTCATCCAAAGGAAATACAGACAAGATGGCAGTCAAAACCTAACTCTGAATATTGTTAAACTGCTCACACAAAAGACATAGTGGAATTTTGCATAAAACATACCTTCCTTCTTTTCATCTTTTTTAGCTGTTGCTGAAATAAGGATAAGAAGTTGTGTTAAAACATATCAAATGACCACTTCTCAAAATTCTTCTGGGGATAAAATAATGTATTACATGTATTCATAAATTCAGTAGATATCCATATACAAATTAATCTATCCAAATCTGAAATAAAAGGATGACCTAAAATGTTATTCCATAAAAAGGATTTTTTAATTGAGATATAGACATGAAGACATAAATGAATAAAAATATATTGATACATGAGTAAGAAGTCAAATTACTAAGGATGTGGTTAGCCCTAACTCTTATCTGTAAACTGCTTAATCAACACTTTCATCTAATTTCCTTAAAAGAATATTTCTAACAAGCTTTTGAAATTCTAAGTTACTATTCATTCAACAATAAATCCTTCATTCTGGAAGAATGAGTTCTGAGCTGCCTTCTCCAACATAGTTGGGATATAAAAGTGAAGAGCCTACGCTCAAATCCAAAAGCAGTTTCCAGATTATCTCTTCACTTCCCTCCCCCTGAGCTCCTCTATTATGAGGCTGAAGTAACACTTCATTCCTGACTCAATTCATAGTTCCATTTCCACCGTGACCTCAGAAACCTCAGTCAAAACAGGTGATCGTGTATCTTTACAAGAACATACATACCTTAACTGTAATGATTCCTTGAGCTAGTAGTCATTTGCTTAAGTAATTTTCTCTGAGCTGAATTTTCATGAATATAAAACATAAAAATGATCATATTATTAGCCCTGTCTTTCTACCTCCCATAATATTTGTTATATTCTCTATCAAAACTCTTCTGAAAAAGAATCAGTTTTCTTGAACAACCTGGTGATCAAAAGAAAATTAAAACTTACGTCACAGCTCTTAACCATTCTAGCATATATTGCTTATAAACAACATTGCTGAGTCAAATGGCAATTAGCCAACCCATTTTGCCCATATTTACCAGCACGATTTTGCATGTAGTTGGGTCCAGGATGCAATCATGTCATATGCTAAGAAGTCTGCTACAAGAGCTTTCTGCCCAGAAACAAAAGTGCTATCACCTAAATGTATCTCCATAATTGTTCACTATTGTATAATGTGGTATAGGAGAGAAAATAAAGATTTTCTCCAATAAATGTTTTCCCTTTTTGTCCCTAAGTGTGTTCTGTAAAGTTTCCATAAATAACAAAGGCAGAAAAATTATACCCTTTCCTTTTACTTCCATCACATTACTACTCATGGCTTGAGAATAAAGGTCACATAAACTCATTGCATCCCATTCTCTTCAGTTGGGAACACTGGAGTTAGAATAGCTTTCTCAAGAAAGGTGATTGCAGGTAATAGTTAAAAAATCACTGTATAGGAAAATTATTTTAAAGATACACTTTTCCCAAACTGTTGACTTAAAGACTCAATATTTTCCTGAAGTTCTCTTAAAAAGCACCACTCTTGTACCCCAAAGATATTAGTAAATTATAAAATAGATTTTCTCAGATGTCTCATAAAAACTAAGGTGATTACTTTGTCATCAATCTGGAAACTGATTTTTCAGTCTTGGTATATAGATGAAGTATCAGAAATTTAAAAATATTCTGACAGATTTTTCTAGTATGACACACTGTTGGAAGGTTTAACTGAAAACACTGAAAATTTTGTATATTATTTATATATTTCTATATATCATTTCTCTATCCATCCATCTATCAATCTATGGTTTATTCTTGAAGTTATAATTAAAAGCTCAGTGCCCAAAACGAGGAGTCAACATATTAATTCTAGGTTCCTTCTGTGGTTCCTTTGCAAATTTGGTATTTGTCTTAGTTATGCTTTCTCCCATCACTAAAGTCATGCTTTCTCCAATTACTGAATACTTGAAAGTGTATCTTCATGCAACAATGCCATATTTTCTCTAATAATCCAGCAGATGGTGCTATTCTGCAATAAACAGCTTTCGCTTTGGTCAATAAGGTGCTATGTAAGTAAAAAAAAAAAAAGAATTTTTAGTGTTTCACTGCTTACCTTGTGCTGCAACTTTTATAGTTCCTTGTTTGGTTTCAGGGGCTTTCCCTGGCTCTTATAAAGGGAAAAGATACAAAAATTAACATAAAGTACTGTCAGAAAAATATGCAAGAAAATTTGTTTAAAAAGAAAATTTACAAATCCAAAATCAAATACAGAAAACACTCAGCATTGTTAAGAACTGAACACAATTATTAGGAAGAGAGCAGAGAATTAGGCTTACTGAGGCAAAAATAAAATGACTAAACCAAAGGAAAGCAGAACATAAAACTTCCCCAACTGTTTTTGCTTCACTGTTAATGATGATGGAACACTTTGCATTTGTTTAGCACCTAAATTTGAAAATCTTAAAATTCTTTGTAAATTATTTCCATGTAACCAGCCTTTTTAAAGACACAGACATAAAGTGGTTCTTTGAGGTTCCTGAGTGACTAACATGAGAATAAAGCCCAGTACAACCAGTTTCCAGCTTTTGTCTTTGACTTGATACCTTTCCCTCCACTGCTGTGTGGCAGGGGCAGAGGGGGGGGAGGTGGCGGTGCAGCACAATGGGCCATTAAATGCATTGTGAGAGAATGAGCTAGTTTCACACATTTTAAATCTTTCTCCTCTTATCTTCATTTTCTTGTTTTTTTCCCCTTTGTTCAGAATTTTCTTTTTAAAGAAACAGAATAAAAAAATAGTTAATAAACACTTAAACATTATTTAATTAGTATGAAAGATAAAAGGGGAAATAAATATTTCAAAAAGCAATAGCTTGTTTCATTTCATTGAGTAGTAGTCCCTGATTGTCTTTATTAAGTTTTCAATAATTGAATTACCACTTAACAATGTGAGAAGGAAGATTTGGTCATTTGTCTTAGATACTGACCTTGACTCACTCATTCATCACATATTTATTTAGGATCCGCTATGTGTATGTAGTAGCTAGGTATAACTGTAGCAGTTGACACACATGTATATTCAATCTTATTTAATTATCATAAAATGTTCATTTCAGTTAGTCTGATACAGGGTGGGCAAAAGTAGGTTTACAATTATTCATATATAAAATAATACAATAAGCAATAATACCATAATAAACTCTGTTTTGCATTTGACAACTGTAAACCTATGTTTGCCAACTCTTGTATGACAATTATAATTAAAGTTAAAAATAACAAGATTTCAACAGAATAACTTGGCAAAGAATCATAAGCACAGAGTCCATGATTTTTTGGCCAAATAGAAGAGGTTCAGTTTGGAATTAATTCTTCACTGCCTGTTGGCAAGAAAATTATTCATTAATGTCATTGCTATTATTAATGAAAATGCTAATTTTTATTATCTTTTCATATAAAAAGTACTTCTTGATACACACATATCATTTTCATTATTACTCTACTTATTTGCCAAACAAAATATCTTTTTCCAGAGTTAAGCTCAGAAGCCATTCTACCTATGATGTCTGTATTATTAATCTTTATTCTTCTCTGGAAGAAAACTCCATGCCAGTTGTCGTTCTGGTGCTACCTTTGTTACACCTAATAGGTGGTCTCGATATTCTTAGTCAAGATTTACCTATAAATATTGAATTCTTAACTAATGTATTTCTAAGTATTACTCTAACCCTATAAGTATAGGCTAATATTTAGTAAGCACTTAATAAATAATTGGCGAATAAAAAGTGGATAAAAAGATAGAACCAAAATATTACCAAAAGTGCCCTAAACTACTCAGATGTCTTACTCCTTAAGATCTCAACATATCAGAGAAATGTAGAGTAATGTTATTTTTTAAAAAAAAATATTTTACAATTGGAATCAGTAAAGTGTCATAGTAAAAGTGTCATAGGATTGTTACACTTGCTTTTCCTCCTATCTTCTATTTTCTTTTATGTTTTTTCAGATTAATTATCCTAACTGACCCCTTTATACCTGAGGTTCTGTTGGACCATCCAACACACACAATTGTGAATTATGGAGAGCTTTCCTCAAGGTCTTACTTCTGCCATCAATCATTTGGTTCCTCTGTTAGCTGCTTTCACCCCCGGTGATCAGGATGCAGATCATGCCCCTGACTGTTCAGGATTCCTTATGCGAGCAACCTGACAGATGACAGATTGGTCGTCTCTCTGCAGAGTCACATCCTCCCTCCCCTTATCCTGTCTGTGTGACTGCGTGCACACTGAGTGAGCATGTTTTAAGGGCTCATACCCTGTGGACTCTTCCCTATGCTGCGTTAGTTCCCAGCCTTCTAAAAATAAATCAGTCCGCTAATGCACACTATACATGAAAGATACTGTTCCAGGTAAAAGGTGTTACTTTAAAGGGTTAGTTCTACAGGCAATGTCCACATGCAAAGGGATGATTTTAAAGAAGCTACATCTCAAGATCATAGGAGTAAAATGTTATTTATCCCTCAAATTTTTCTATTCTTTGTCTGATCTCAGCTTTTAAGTCAATATATATTAACACACTATTACTTGAATGACATTTCTGTAGAAATTAACAGTTTAAAACCAAATACTTTTCAGCAAGTCTGCCAGCTTTCATTCCACCCAACAAAAACATTGACTCCAAATCTATGAGCATACACACAGAGGTGATCAGATATAACATCTGTTTGTGTTGGCATTTCAGTTTTCAAAACTGCATGGCTTTAAGGAGGGAGTCAACCCTGAGACCAGAAATGTACAACATTAAAAAGGCCACAGCCAAAATTGCATGAGAGTGAAAACACATCAGATCCATACAGATAGGGTGAAATGGTGAAGGGATTAAGAACTTCAAATTGACAGTCACGAAAGAGTCCTGGGGATGTCAAGTACAGTATTGTAATAACTATGTATGGTGCAGGTGGGTCCTTGAAATATAGGACAAAAATCTTTGTAAAGTATGTATATGATTATCTAATCACTATGCCATACACCTGAAACTAAAACAAAATAGTTATCTATTGTAAACTGTACTTGAAAAATGAATTTAAAAAATAATAAAAAATAATCCATAGAAATAAATTTTATTATAAGTATTTTTCTGCATCCTTTTGATTACTACCAATTGCAAAATAAACTAAATTTTTATTAGAAAAAAGTTTTGAATATGTATAACATTAAAGAAGAAAGTACAATGAGCTCCATGTTCTCAGCACTTATTCAACAAGTATCAGGTAATGGCTTGTCTTATTTTCTCTGTATTACTCACTACCTACACAATTCATACCCCAAATAAAAATTTCATTACATCAAATGATGGTATCTTTTTCCAAGTTTTCATCTGATAATTTTAGTTATATTAAAAAATGATGATTTCAATAAAAACACAGGATGATAAGTTCAACAAAAATTATAGTAATTTTAAAATTGATGTATAATATTTTGAACTGCCAAATTAGAAACAGGATGGACCTAGATTAAAATGTCAGCATAATTTACTTGGGATTGTTTTAGTAGAAAATTATTGGAGAAGTTAGTATTCTTAGGCTACTGAAATGTATTTATATAAACAAATTGTCATGAATCAGATAAACCAAATGGTTTAGTCTTTTCTGATTTCATAGGCATGGAACAGTCTCATTTATGAAATTGAATCTGCAAATTTTCATTCAGCAATTGATTTTTGCATACAGCTTTAAATATTCATTTAATATCATGAACTTTTCATCCATAGGATTCTGTTTATACTTTTCATGTGAAATCTAAACTGATTGAATTTTCAAATGTAGATTTTCATAACTTCAAGAGCAAATGAATTGTCACACTGTAAGTACAGTATTGTACTTTGGCTAATGAAAAACAGATGAAGAATAATGCTGTTGTAGAGAATCATACTTACATTTAAATATTTTCTAAGCAATCCCTCTGCCCCTTGTCTCAAAGTAAATCATTGCACTTTTAATTTTTTTAATGAACTGGGAAAGATTATTTTCTCTTTCAAAAGTAACAATGAACAATTCCTGAATTATGTAAGTCTTTTCCCTTTTGCAAATAAAAGCAAAATAAATAAGAAAGATGTGCCCCTAGCTGAAGAAAAGTGCCCCTTAGAGAGAAAAATTGTCAGAGGTATGTGAATGAATACCAGCAGGTGGTAAAGAAGGTGATGAGTTCTGATGAAAACTGGTTATTTCACAATATCCAGCCCACTGGACTCAGTGGTAAAGATTTCTGTTTCAATGTGTAATCATATTTTAATTATTTACTTATGCTATTATAACTTCCATTAATCTATAAACTCCCTGAGATCATTGACTTATTTATTCAACTTCCTAACACTACTCTAGCAAAATGCTGGGAAATTCTCTGTAATAAACATATAGGGAATTTATTGCATACAACACCTAATTATAAAAGTGATTAAAAAATCCAATTAAACGGTTTGAAGTGAGACATTAAATTTAGGAATATCTCTGTCTCTCTCTCTCTCTCTCCCCATTCCACTCCTTCCTTCCTTCCTTCCTTCCTTCCTTCCTTCCTTCCTTCCTTCCTTCCTTCCTTCCTTCCTTCTTTCCTTCCTAGGCTTGCACCCTGACTGGAAGTCAAACCTATGACCTTCTGGTTTTCGGGATGATGTTCCAACTAACTGAGCCACACAAAGCAGGGCAAGAATTTGTTTCATTTCAAGCACTCATTTTCTCTTTGATCACTGATTATGTATTTATTATGCAGAGTTTCCATTTTAAATTTCAGAACTTGATTTTCACTAGAATACCCTGTGACCCTGATTGCATTTGGGAATTTTGAAGAATTTCACTATTTCCAACAGATTTCCAAATAATTTGTGTGGATTAGGGAATATAGGAATTCTATTTAAGGATGTAATATGAACTATACAATTTTTAGAAGTGAAATTATGAATTGATCTACCTTCCTTCATTTTCCAATAAGAAAATAGAAATATTTTTATAAGCCATCTCTTGCTAAATCAGCAGTAGTCCAAGGCATTTAGTCTGTTCTTAGTTCAGAAAATTAAGTACAGAAAAGTTGAATGACTTCACAAACTATGACAGAAATTAATATTTATTGGTTCAGCAACTAAACTTTGAGCCAGGAATATAAAACCTTCTTGATCCCTTAA